TGAACAGTTGAGTCATGGAGATTCTCATTATCACACACATACGAGTTCACTGCTTGTGGAGCACCTCACCAGGCTTCTGTTCTTGTCTGATTTGTAGAAAATCAGTCAAAAAGTACTCTTGAGTTGGTAGATGAGTTTAATGTCTTCAGAACCGTTGTTATCAATCTATTGTAGGAATTGGTGTCTGGTTTTTTTGTAGTAAGTTGTAGAGTCAAGAAAAAGTAAGGTTGAATGCATTCTTTCTTCCCACTGGTTTAGTTAAGTAGGTGCTTCAAGTGATTTTATAATTGTAAAGCACTTATAAGGCCTTAAGTGAAATGTATATTATTAACATTAATTTTAAATGGGGAACTAATAATATTTATTCCTGTCATGAATTAATAACGTTTTGAAGGCAGTGTGCTTGACACTATGGTTGGTAGATTTAAAAAGCAATCACACACAACCCTGCTCCCTAAAATGAGGGTTGGCAAACGATGACCATGGTGAATTGTGCCTGATGTTTGTTTGTTTGTTTTTTTAAAGATGATTAAATAAGGGACTATTTGTGAGCAGCCAAGCCTAAAATGTTTATTATGTGGCCTTAAAGAAAAAAATTGCCATATTCTACTTTATAAAGCCAAAGCTATATCAGTGGAAAGAATATGAGCTTTGTATTGTTTATGGCTCATTCTTTATGATTTATAAGCCATGTGACTTTAAGGTAGTATCTTAACCTCTTTGAACTCATGTTCCCACATATACAGCTGAGGATTGTTGTGAGAATTATCGGGTATTTTCAGCACCTGAGATTAGTGTTAGTAAGTAGGCTGGCTATTTGTTTGATAATGGAGGTTAACTTTTGTTTAAGCAGCTGATTAAATGAAGAGGTAAGTGGATGTGTAACCGATGTGATTCTGCAATCTGTATACGGGGTAAAAATAGGAGTTCATAACCCACTTGAATCAAATATATGAAATATGATATGTCAAGAGCTTTGTAATGTTTTGAATAGCCAGTAATAACAATTTTAAAAAATAAAATAAATTAAAAAATAAATGAAGAGGTAACGGGATTTCTGGTAATCTTCCCCAGTTCTTGAGTTAAACAGTGTGAAAAATACAAATAGTGAAGGAAATTGTTCTGTTTTACATTAAACAAGTTACATGTTGCTCACTATGCAGACCTTGTTATTCCGTCTCCAAGACTAGCTTGTTCAGTATTGTTTCAACTTTGGAAAAGTGTGCAGTGTAAATTGTATAGCTGTCTAGTTCTTTTATGTAAACATCATATTCTTATGTCCTTTTTTAATGTACATGTGGGGAAATAATAGTGCTAAACTTTCTTTTTCCACATTTTTTAGACTCATGATAGTAAAGAACATCTGGCCATGATGGAACGAATATTAGGACCCATACCAGCACACATGATTCAGAAAACAAGGTATGTTTAAAGATTAAAGCTCTTCATTGGATGCATGCAATGGCCTCT